ATAAACATTCTCCGTGTCCCATTCATAAATGTTGTAACAATATTAAAATCTTAACTTGTGTAATCACTATGATAAAAAAAGTTCTTGAAGAAATACCCGATCGAGTGCAATAAATAAATCAAAAATTTTACTGTGAAGTATAAAAATATTAATTGCCTGCCATAATTACGTACTAACTGATGGCGGCCTCAAATTACGTGTAATTATATAGTTACAAAGCAAGAATAATTTTTGGGAAAATGGTAACATCCTATTAAATATATGTCGATTCATAGTAGTATTCTCCTATTTCGACTGTTTAGAGTACGTATTAATATTTTTATCGAACAAATGAAATATCCGGCTCATCCAAAATGATGAATAAAATTTGAAATAACGATACGAAAATAAGCAATAATCCTGCCTGCTTCTACGATATAATTTCGTTAACGTTCTCCACAAACATCGTCGCGAAGAATGGCAAATGAATGACGAGTGAGTAGCCTGACAAAGGAAAGTAAACGAAATGCTTCGCGAGAAGCAATGAAGCGAGTGCATTGAAATTGTTGCACGTTGCCTGGTCGGAATAGCAAAAATGGTTCCCAAGAGATCAAGGATCCGTGCACGTCCGTTGGAATCCTCGTGAAACTAGATCCCAGTCATTGATAATCAAATGGTCATCAAAGAGTACGATGAAATTCCAACCTCGAACGGCACGCATGCTCCTTATCGGGATTGCAAGGGTTTGTCCCTTCCTTCTGCCTCTCCCTGCGTCCTCTCCTCTCCTCTCTCCACTCTTCTCTCCCCTCTTCGCAGCCAGCCGGGGAATGCAGCATTCTACTAAAATCGCGTTCCCGAAGGAAGGAAGGAGGGCGGGTTGCGTAATTTAAATAATTCAAGAATGACCCTGACCCCGGTTAGGCCGCAGGCTGACCTGCAACCGGCGATTACAATCACAATGCAATGCCGAGTTCTCAGGGTAAGACAGGTAGCACACCGGTCCGTCCCGCATACATTAGATCGAAGCCATTCGCTATAGAAACATAAGCGATATTTTGGAACGCTCGGGCTGATTTTATGCAGTGCGAGCCGAGTCTCCTTCGTCTCGAGATCATCCAGCCTCTATTTCCAGCCAGATCTGACACACATTCAACCGGACCGAGCGATTAGCATAACGACAACCGATAGTACGCGCCTTCTTACACGCACCTTGCGAATATCCCACGGTTAGGGCACTTTCCACGCTTCCGTCGTGCCGACTTCGGTCAATGATTTATCTGCAGTCGATGAAACCCATCTTGCGCGGAATGCGATTGTCATTCGAATCGCGTTTAGAAAACCGATTAAACCGCTGCCAGGTATCCGGTCGATCAACGGCATTTTCGTATAATTTCGGGACCGTGAATCTGCTTGGAAATGAACAGACGGTCCGCAGCTCAACAGGGAACACCGATCGACCAGCTTTAATTCATAGGAGAGTGCGAACATTTGAGAATTTGAATATTTGAATGATTAAATCTCCTTGACAGTTTAAACGTTTGAATGCTATAGCGCCGAATAATTTGAATAACTACTCGAATGCTGGATGTTTGAAAATTCTAAAATTGGAACATTTTAATGTTTTACTATTTCATTACTTGGAAGGTTGGATGTTCTGAATTTTGAGCGTTCGAATGCTTAGAAATATGAATATTTGAATACTCAGATGTTTGAACGTTTAGATATTTCGATGTCCAGTTGTTTGAAAATTTTTAAATCTGTCTATTTCGATATTTCAATGTTTGAATGTTTGAAAATATAAATGCTTCGTAAATTGGAGTATTTGAATACTTGAAAATTCAAGTATATCAATATTTGAAAGTTGAAGCATTTCATTATTTGAAAATTCGAATGTTCTAATATTTGAAAGTTGGAGCATTTGAATATTTGAAAATTCAAGTATTCCAATATTTGAAAGTTTGAGCATATGAATATTTGAAAACTCGAGTATTCCAATATTTGAAAGTTGAAGCATTTGAATATTTGAAAATTCGAATTATCCAATATTTTAAAGTTGGAGTATTTGAATATTTGAAAATTCAAATATTCCAATCTTTCAAAGTTTGAGAATTTGAATATTTGAAAATTCGAGTATTCCAATATTTCAAAGTTGGAGCATTTGAATATTTGAAAATTCGAGTATTCCAATATTTGAAAGTTTGAGCATATGAATATTTGAAAACTCGAGTATTCCAATATTTGAAAGTTGAAGCATTTGAATATTTGAAAATTCGAATTATCCAATATTTTAAAGTTGGAGTATTTGAATATTTGAAAATTCAAATATTCCAATCTTTCAAAGTTTGAGAATTTGAATATTTGAAAATTCGAGTATTCCAATATTTCAAAGTTGGAGCATTTGAATATTTGAAAATTCGAGTATTCCAATATTTGAAAGTTTGAGCATATGAATATTTGAAAACTCGAGTATTCCAATATTTGAAAGTTGAAGCATTTGAATATTTGAAAATTCGAATTATCCAATATTTTAAAGTTGGAGTATTTGAATATTTGAAAATTCAAATATTCCAATCTTTCAAAGTTTGAGAATTTGAATATTTGAAAATTCGAGTATTCCAATATTTCAAAGTTGGAGCATTTGAATATTTGAAAATTCGAGTATTCCAATATTTGAAAGTTGAAGCATTTGAATATTTGAAAATTCGAATTATCCAATATTTTAAAGTTGGAGTATTTGAATATTTGAAAATTCAAATATTCCAATCTTTCAAAGTTTGAGAATTTGAATATTTGAAAATTCGAGTATTCCAATATTTCAAAGTTGGAGCATTTGAATATTTGAAAATTCGAGTATTCCAATATTTGAAAGTTGAAGCATTTGAATATTTGAAAATTCGAATTATCCAATATTTTAAAGTTGGAGTATTTGAATATTTGAAAATTCAAGTATTCCAATATTTGAAAGTTAGATTATTCCAATATTTGAAAGTTAGATTATTCCAATATTTGAAAGTTGGATTATTTGAATATTCAAGTATTTCAATATTTGAAACTGCTTAAAAATTTCAAATTTAGAAAATTATCGAATTTAAAATATAAAAGACTGCGAATACTTTAATGAAACTAATCGTGATAAATATAACCCGGCCATTTTGTGCATTAGGTTTTCCGTTCAGTGATTTTCTATTTCAGCGAAAGAACAATGGAGGGATCGAGAGGAACGCGAAACAGACATCCCGTTTTGCATGATCGATAACAATCGAACGGCGGGCAGAATCGCAACGGTAATTTGCATCTTCGATGCTGGAAACCAAACACTTGAAGGATCGGAAGCTGGCATGCAGATGAGCTGACATAGCCGCCCTCGAAAGCGGATGTTGGCAGTCTGCAGCTACCGTAGACAATGGACCAGTGCCATTATGTCCGTCGAATCCTAAAACCCCATAGAGTCGTTCTTCTCTGTCTATTATCCGGCTGGTGGCAGGCCACATTGTGTATCCGGTCTGCAACGGGACCCCGGCTATTGTCGGCCCACCTAATTATTCGCAAATCTTCCGCTCCTTGTCAGTACACACCCCTCCGACTCCCACTCCCTCTTCGTTACACTCAAACATCGCGAATTTCCGTCTTTGGTAACCGGGCCTCGCTGTTTCCGTTTAATTCACCTCTAGTTCGAACCCGACTGGTTTAGAACCTTTTGTTTCGCGAAACTTTTATGTTTTCTTACCATACCGATCGCTGCACCTAACTCTGCCAACTTTGAAACCTTAACCGAACCAGCGACCGCCAAAATTGTTCGAAACAGACGCAATTTATTCGACGAAAAGTAGCCACTGGATTGCCAATTTTCGGTATCCGACTGCGGATATTATGCATTTGTGGCAAACAGATGAAAACTGTGAAATCGTTAGAACAACATTGAAACATTATTTTCTATTGTAAAAGGAAGAATACTTTTTTCATTTAATCTCTGCTTCTTACAATAGACTTGGAGAGCATAAAGATCTGCAATCCTATTCGTTGTAATATATGTTGGTTTTTAACCAGTCATCGTGATGGAATGACGATATTTCGTGTCATGATGAAAAAAAGAAAAAAAAAGAGAAAAAAGAAAAATAATTATTGTGAAAAACTTTAATGAATTCCGCGTATAACCTTGACAATAATTTAAATTTATGTTAATTCCACTTTTCATGGAACATTTTATAAGAATATGGAGAAGTAGAAATTTATTTTAATGACAACAATTTTCGTGGTGATGTGATAGGAGAAATACTATTGATTTTTGTTCATAACACAATTTTTTCAATTCTACGAATACACAGGTATCATAAATGCATAAAAATCCGCAGTCTACTCGAATGTTATTAACAATTCCTAATACACCAATTCTAAAGATAAAATTCAAAATTTGGTCTACTCAAGAGCTGTGCAGAATTGCAATTGAATTACTCAAGGAATTATAATTATAAAGTAATGCAATTACACGATGATTCAACCAAACTGCAATTCGTAATTCATATATCCATTCAATTCTGTTACACTATAATTCAATCAAATTGTATAATAATTCGTAATTCAGATTTACATTCAATTCAATTACAATGTAATTCATAATTGTGTAACGTATAATAATTAAAATTAAATAACATAATTGTAAGTAGTTATATTACATTATTTACGAATTACAGTATAATTGATTTAAGATTCCGAATTAAAAATTATAAATTAATAGGCAATAATGGAGGAGAAAATACGCAGAAGAAACATATATATAACTTCTCCAAAATTCTGAGCTGTAATTTGAAGAACTGTATTTTAATTACATTTCATTCGAATTACATTCGTGATTATAATAGTAATCAATTAAATTAACTGAAAGATTTGCATTATGTAACTGAATTGCAATGTAGTTGGATTACTATGTAATTGAAACACAGTATAATTAAATTGCGAAATTGAATTACAATGTGATTGAATTAGCACAACTCTGGTCTACTCAATAAATAATTAGTACTCACATCAGGATCTGTTGATTCTGGTCGTTTGAAAGCATACAAGGGTGCCAATTTATCGTAAAGGTTGACTTGATCATGCAGACTTTTGAACGGATTCTTGGTGCTGAAGAAATCCAAGTCGACGTCCAATATGTACGGGGTGTCCCGTTCAGGAAGATACTGGCGCAGCGCAGCACTGACCACGCCAAAGTCATCTTTCTGAAACGTAAAGATTCCCTTTTTCAGCGAGTTCACTTGAAACAAAAACAATATTAAGAAACGTTCCTAGCAAAAGGTATTTAGTTTAGCAAAACGTATACAATCAATATAAAAATGTACTGCCTATTTCAATTAACAAAGTACTCACTCTAGTAATTAAACTGCGGTTCTTTATACAAAATGAAAAAATGTCTGCATCAGTTATAAGAAACAGAAATGAAAGAAAAATCAAATTCTTATGATCACCTTGCTGTTGCATATTTCAACTGTTCATTGTTTTCATAAATGCATAAAATTTATTATAATATCTAGCATTAACTTGCAGTAACGAATTATAGCAATAAAATAAAAAATGGCTGAATATTTGCGGCCTCTTTAAGTGATTTTACGCAAGAAAGAAATGCATATTTTGTAAATATGTAATACATATTTTCACAGTTTCAAAATTTGTTGAATTTTCAGGTTGGAGATCATCCTTTATTAATACTAAATCTAACAATACGATACTCATTTAGACCAGGTGATAATTGATTCAACAAGCACCATTCCTGAAGCTTGTCTTATCATTATTAATTAGCTGGTGTTTTGATTACAGAACAGTGATAAATCTTAAGATCACCGACATATAATACAACTTCTGCACCACATTTCCCAAAAGAAAAAATATTTTTCTATATATGACAATCCAAAATACTTTCTTGCCAATCTAATAGATCCCCCGAAAATTTTCAAGAAGTACGACGTACAGTTTCTGGAAATGAAAATCTCAAGGATCGTCTTATATTCGGTGCGTCGCGCGTCGCGCGAACTGTCCCCTTCGAATTCGATTGCTGGATAAAACGGAGCGAGCAACGAAACGTCGCGTCGATCTAATATTTTGCGACTCATCGAGCGCAATTTATAAACGCATCGTTTCTTCGCAGAAAGTGGACCGGTCGGGCTGCTCTCGCACGTCCTCGATGTTATTCGAAACGAGGCGAGCGCGTCGCTGGCCGCCATAACACAGAAACGGCGGACGAGGAGGGGCGCAAACCGAGGGGTGGAGGCTTTTTGTGACGCGCAAAAAACAATGACTGCACTCGAATTAATCCTGTTAGAATTGATACTCGTCCCGGTGTGGCGGGATCGCGATTTGCATGCGTTCATAACAATGAAATGCAACGGCGTTCGCAGCGGCGCGGCGCGGCGGCCGCGCTGGTAGGGTTGCGACGGTGATCGAGGGGGTGGAGGGACGCAAAGCCAACGATCACTATGGTCAACGGCTTTCAAACGTTTAATACGGTCTTCGATGGCCCCGGACGTTCTGCTTTTTCCCGCCGCTGTCCCCCGAGGACTGCGTAATCTAATTTAATTATGGCTTTTTCGCCCCTACGACGGCGAAAAATTCACCTTCATTTTTACCGTATTTCCCGCGGTGTTTTCACAAATTAAAGATGTATTTTCGCGGACCGTAATCTAATCTAACTATCAGCTTTTAGCCACTTTCCGTTAAAGTATGCATTTAGAAATGAATGTTCCATTTTTGCTGCATTTGCGACAGCGTTTTTCTCAATGAAAAATTAAAGATTGTAGAGTGGAATTTAATTGGATTTTCAACAATCGATTTTTAGCTCGTTAAAATATGCAGCGAATGTATATTTCATTTAGGGAATATTTGCGAAGATGCTGGTTTTTTTTTCGAGAATTCATTCGTATAGAGTGAAATCTAATATAATACAATTACGGTTCTTAGACTCTTAAACAATGGACAGAGAAGAGCATGATTTATTTCGACCGTAATTATGGAAATGTTTCAACGGATTGAAAAAGCTCAGATAAATATACGAATGAATCTCGATGCGGTAGAATCGAATCCAATTTAATTATTCCGTGACACTAGTTTTACAGTTTGAGAATTTGCGAAATCTAATACGATTATCGCTGTTTATCGCGGCCCTACCATTGAAGGATCTACCGAGGATAGGTTATTTCACTTTCGCGACACTGCTTCGGCCTATCAAGTATGAATTATTGCGGGTCGGAAGAAGCGTCGTCAATTTTTGTTGAAAAACAAATAACTCCGAGCGAGAACTTGGTAGAATCGATGCGGGCAAAGTTTTCGAAGCCGGCAGACCGCTTATTAAGCAAGTTAAAGTTGCCGTTCATTAAACTGGCAAACTTTTCGAATTGATTGCCGACGGTAGGGAAGTTTCCGCGACACCCAGTAATTTTCTTTGACCGAAAACAACAGGCCGGAGCCTGTTTTTGTGAAACGCGTCCGAGAAGTGTCACGCGACCGCATTAGCCGGGCATTAGAAGGGAGCACTTGAATGGCCGCTCCTCCTGAACATATTCATTTGCATTCTCCAAACATCGGCTTTTTCGTAGCCCTCGGTTTCCTTTTCAATGCGACAAGGGGAGAAAGAGAGAACGGAAGCGTGAAGGGAACGAAAGCGTGGTGGGACAGAGACGTAGAGGGGAGGAAGAGAGAAAGGGAGAGAAAAATAAAGAGAGAGGGAGAGAGAGAGGGAGAGAGAAACGAGGGCCGATGGTGCAAGCGAAACCAATCGAAAGAGGTGCGCGCGTTCGTATACTTTTTTTTTCTCTCGTTGCCCCCGTGACAATGCACTGTTCTTTTACGCTGAACTACCAAAGCTCTTTCTGACTGGAACCCGTTTCCCGTTTATGCGAACTAAACCGGGCAGTAGGGTGATTCTGACTGGAATCGAGGAAGGACAAAAGGCTCTTACGGAATCCCCGTTGTGCTTAAACCAACAGCTCCGCATGCACGCCAGACGTTGCCATCACGTGTCCGCAGAGAACCAATCTTCCAGCGTTCCTTGGATATCGGTTTCCATTATTTCTTCATCCACTAGCAACGCTTCATTATTCTTTCGAATTCGCGGCCGTGTATCCTCCCCGTCGCGGTCTAGATGCCCGTCATCTGTGATGCTTCACGGTTTTTGTAATGCTTTTAGCGAATTAGATACACGTATGCGCCAAGTTGGAGAACGAGAGGAAACGAGGCTCGCGATTCCAATAGATTGCGATCAAAGATGTTCTTCAAGATGAACTTGGTTTTTTGGTTCATTTGTATCCGCTTAATGGCGTACTCCGATCGTTGCAGAATGATCGCTTTGATTTTTCTAGGAATTAAGAAATCAATCTAGCAGTCTGTTACGCGTCACTTTCGTTCTTGGTTTTCAAACAGCTACGAATGTGGATAGAATAAAAAAGTAAAAATATTTATGTGTCTGCTTCATGTTTGTTTGTAATAGCATTGAAACGCAATAGTTTCAACGCTAGTTTCAACGCTAGTTTCAACGCAAACAGTTGTCAATATCAATGTAGGCACATTGATGACCTAGTAAAGAGAAATGTAATTAAAAAATATGACACTAATGATGTTTTGCAATTACTGGAAGAACCTATTATTGGAAGAACCAAACCTATCGGAATCAATATTAATTTTTTTATAATACCGAAGAATAATTTCATCATATTCTTATAATTGATTTTTGTTTTAAAGTTAAAATAGGAGTTGACACTAATGATGTTTTGCAATTACTGGAAGAACCAAACCTATCGGAATCAATATTAATTTTTTTATAATATCGAAGAATAAATTCATCATATTCTTGTAATTGATTTTTGTTTTAAACTTAGAATAGGAGTTTATAATATGTCTAAAAATACATTCAGATTCTCGTGCAATCAATAAAAATGATATACTTGATAAAAAAAGCTGTAAATATTTTATTTTAACGAATTCGATTTCTTAATTTCTAGAACAATCTAAATGACATTGTAATCTAATGTCATGACTGTGAGGGTGAGTCACTCGTGTATACTTCCATACATGTTCACTACCGCGTGATTCACGCGCCAGCCATTGAAATCGTTTGTCGACATTGAAAGAACCATTTTTTTTACCGACCTTAAACATATTCTTTTAAATAATCATTTCAAAAGACGTTAGCAGATTATGTTGTTGGTGCGATTAATCTCTCGTAACGCGATTGAAACTGTTATTGTTATTGCAGGATTTGTTGACAGATCCTTAATTGCGAAGCATAGAATTTTATAGATAAGTACGAAAAAGATGGAAATTGCAATGCTTTCTAATTAAATTACTAATTGAAAAATAATTAGAATATCTAGCGATCTGACACCATAAAACGAAATCAAACTTATACATTAGTTGGAGAATCAGACTGCACTCACATAACTATGATATATCTTGACTCTTGGAAATATTACATTGTCGAATATTTCAACTCTCCTACCGATTGTACATAATTGCTTACGTAAAACTAACTCCAAAATAAGAAGATCACCTATTAATTAGCTGTAAATAAAGAATACAATAGAAAGAATAACATAATAACATATAGAAATGTGTTCTAAAAATTCAAGTATATTTTGCAGTTTCATATAATGCAGTTTCAACGTGTTGAATCTGTCGAGTTTTAAAAGTGAGCCACTTGTGTTGCTTTATAATGATTACAAGACTCAATTTACTTAGACCATTTACCACTTTCATTATAATTAAATCGCAGCTTTAATACATTTATGACAAAAATTGACAAACGAAATGCAAAACAATAGGCACATTTAACGAATTCAAAGTTTCACCTTATTAAAATTATTATGAGAAGAAATACATTTCTATTTACCTCTTGTTTCTTCTAATTAATGCAGACAATTTTTATTTTATATTTAAATCCGGTCTAGTTATAATATACGCTTGAATTAATTTCCTACGAAAGAAACCTCATATTATTTCCTATAAACCTTTTCGTTCGGTTTTCCTTTTCAAATCTGCGAATTTTCATACCTATAGTTTTTCCATTATTACGAAGAAGCGGAGTTTCTTTTCTATATTTTCCAAGAGATTCTAAAAGATGTTGCGACCTTTTTAAAAAGTGCGTACATAAAAATGTGTAGCAAAAAGTAAACGATAACGAGTATACCACCTAACGCAAACACTATACAACAGTTTTCCTCATAATAATTATTTA